GTGTGTGTGTGTGTCTATCTTTTACAGTTTACATTATAATGTTTTATCTTCTACTTTATGACATCACTTGCTTAAAAAAAGGTGTATGTTACCCATCGAATAGGAAATGTGATTTTGGAATCTGTTCCACGCTAACAATTTTTTTTTGTTGCTAACAATTATTTTGAAATAAAAGCTGTACCTTGTAATCAGAGACATCGGGAGAGTAATCGGATGTTAGTTCCAACAGCTGGAAAGAATTTGAAAAGCTCTTAAGTATATACAAGTCCCTCCAAGTCAAAGAGCCCCCTGGTTCCTCCTGCCCATGCTTGACGGGGGCGGGTTGGGTTGGGGTACCCACCTCCCCCACTCTGGGGATCCCACCAAGCTCTGGTAGCAAAGCAAGAGTGCCATTGAAAATGCCCATACATCTCTTCTGACACTGAACTCATATACCAACCCCTATTTCTCATTACTTCATCTGTGTGCTCCAGGGCCTTGGCCCTCCCAGCACAGTCAGTCGATTTGGGGGGAAATGAACGTTTACTGCTGTAGTGGGTGTTTTCATAATTACCTTAAATGCAATCTTGTCTCCAACCTGGGGGGCCGCCGCTAACAGCGGTAACACACTGTAGTCCTTCTGGCTTACCTCTGCCGGATTCTGAAAGAGCCGTATTTAGTTGTGCGACATGTTACTGGTGAGCAAAGCTGCCCCCCCTCACCCCTGCAACCCCTACCGGTGAAGTCAGTCCAGCCTCACAACCGGCAGTGGGAGGAGGCAAACTCCAGATAAATAACCCTTACCTGGATAAGAGTAGATGAGTTTGTTAATATTTCAGTTAACTGTTGCTGTTTCTGATAGTCACTGCTTCTATTTAAAACACAGGAAATGGGCTGCCCTCGCCCTCGCCCCCGTCCCCGCACACCTCGACCCCTTGGTCCTTTCCAAGAAAGGTCCTCTCCTCTACCCCATCCTCGGCCCAAACTGGCTGGGAGGGACAGGTTGAGAGGAGGACCCTGTCTGCTGGTGTTGGCATCAGAATGCTTCCACCTAATAGCACTTGGCATCTGCGACGATGACCCTGGCCCCGGGGGACCACCTCTTCCTGCTAAGAGGTCCGCTGTCTGTGGGACACCTGCGGCACACTCCGGGGTTTTCTGGGACGGCATGCTC